AATCACAGACAGCATCCAACTGCAACATCCTATCCAGCAATTCTTAATTCTCCTTATGGGAAGCTTTTTAGCTACACATTCCTATAACCATATTCCCCTCAACAGTAGAATATTCCATTCTTTGTGAAATAATTATACTTTGAAATATTAATTCTCCAATTAAAAAACCAAGAAAACCCAACAATCTGCAAACATGAAAGCTTTTGTTTGTTTTGCCAACTGCAACATCCTATCCAGCAATTCTTAATTCTCCTTATGGGAAGCTTTTTAGCTACACATTCCTATAACCATATTCCCCTCAACAGTAGAATATTCCATTCTTTGTGAAATAATTATACTTTGAAATATTAATTCTCCAATTAAAAAACCAAGAAAACCCAACAATCTGCAAACATGAAAGCTTTTGTTTGTTTTGCGGGTTAAACACAGGCACAAAGACACACAGAGGCAATATATAGTAACGAGCCTGACTGGTAATTTTCATACCCCTCTGTATTTTGACAAGAGAGTCATTTATTTCTTTGCTGCTTCATTAGGTCCAGAAAACACATCCCATTAAAAATATCCCTTCTCCCAGCCCCAAGTGTACAACTAAAGATACGTCAATTTCTAAAAATACCAAAAAGAGAAATAACTGCAGGACGAAACCAGCATTTATTTTGAGGGATTAAAATAAATAAATAAATAAATAAATAAACACCAGAGTTATCTAACCCATCACAACGAAGACATTTCAAAAATCCCCACAGGCTAAAAAAGCCAGGCTGCAAGGTTTTGCACAAAGAACACTCGGCAATAACCTTCACCAGCAAAAGCTGACAGGCTTTAGAGGAGCAGAATCAGCAGCTTCTGTATTCTGTAGCAGGGAGTGCTCAAGGTTTTTTGCATAACTTGGCTTAACGAAGGATGCTGCCCAGAGCATCTCTTGCAAAGCGGCCACCTCCTGCAGCGGTCCTCATTGGCGGCGATGCTGCCCTGGAGGACATCCTGCAACCTTTGGACACTGGGAATTTGGGGTTTATCTGCTGGATTTGTTACCTCCCTCACACTGAGTCCCTTCGGGTGGATCTTCTGCGAATCTCCAACAAACCTCCCTGCTATTGCACACAGAGCTGGCGCTCAGTGAAAGGAGCCACGTCCCTTGCTCGGTCTACAGTTGGTGCAACACTATACAAGAGAAAATAACTCAGAATAGCCACCGTTAAAAAGATTTAGAATCCCTCAAGCTACTTTGTACATTAGCTGTGATCTGGAGAGAGGGTTTTCATGGCTTTCTTCAATTTACAATGCAACCGTTCTGCTGGATGGTGCTGTTAACAGTGAGAAGGGCTTCAAACAGAGCGGCCTTTTCTTTTTTCATTCTCAAACCCTTGAACAATTTCTGGTTTGGATGTGGACCTGGTAAGCTTGTCAGAACACTCATGAAAAACCTCAAGAAAATCCATTCTTCATTAACAAGATGAAATGTTTGATTTAACAGAGGTCATTAACCCCTCCTCCAGCTACTTATTTGCAGATTTCAAGGTACCAATACCTGAAAAAGCCCGAGGCTCGGCCAAAACTTGACTTTTCCTTTGTGAAACATTCTCTGAGCTTTGCAATTTGTGTTCAAAAGTTAATAAATAGATTAAATTTCTTCATTTATCTTTATTTATTCTTGGGAAAGCGAGTGTGATTCCAGATGAGGCTGGCAAGCTGAAGAGCTGCAATGCTGGAAATGAAGCCAGCTTCAATGGGAGCACAGCCCTGAGAAGCCCAGAAAACAGCATTTCCAGCTCTGCATCACCTCCTGTGCAGAACAGATCTGACTAGTTAACAAACAAGAGGAGATAATCTTCTGGACAAATGCATGGAGGAAAACTCCATCGCTCCAGCCTAACCAAGAGCAAGGGAGAGAGGGCAGTGAGGCACAGATTGCTGGGGATCGGAAAAACATTGCAGGGAGGTATCACCCCATGCTCCCCCTGCTCAAATGCTGTCCTGTAAGCATTTGGTAGTGACCAATGTGGGAAATCAAGACTGAAACATTAAATGAATGTCTGATACGATTCAGTACAATTGTTTTCACGTCCTTAATCTCAAGCCTCCTCCACCTTTGCAATTCCAGCAAACTGCTCTGCATCATAAACAGTTTATGTTTCGGGTGCTTCCCAACCCAGCCAGGCCCAGGCAGTTCTTAAATAAAAAGCACAAAATCCACATTCTTCTAGCAAACGGTGACAGGGAGGTGACACCGAGTCCCATGGTCCTCTGCCCACCAGGACTGCACAAATATGCTGGGGCCTCAACATGTATCTTAATGCCCCAGACCATCTCGCTTGCAAAGTGAGTGGTACCTTACCAAGATACAGTAGATTTCGTCTGAAAGCCGTGGCAGGTTAGAAGACACTTGGGAAAGGTAAGCAGTATACGTGTGCCAACTACAGACTCCTATTTCCCCCTAAAACTCATGATCTAAGCAGACCTAGAGCTTAACCTAATTTAGAAAATTCCCATGTTGCTTCCCTTTCAATAAGAAAACCAATATGAAAATGTGGTTTTCATACGAACAGTACAAAGCTGTAACTAGCAAACTTCAGAAATAATGCTAATTTTCACCTTTAGTCAATTCGAACTGGTGTAATCTGGTGCTAGTACAATTTTTCCCCAATATCTTATCACTAAATAAATTCACCCATGGAAGTCACTATTTAAAACAACCTTCTCAAACCTTGCTTTACTATGAAAATATGGGTTTGCTTGTACTAAATATTTAAAGTTAAAAATTTCTCCTGAACCAGAGTACCACCACTCTGGAGTTCTCAGGCTACACCATGAATTACACATTTTGTAGTTAGTTTAGAGAAGGATTACCTCTGTCAATCAGTTCCACTGAAAAATGACAGCATGTGAGAACGAAAGAGAGAAAATTATACAAAAGAGAAACACATTTGTTGAGAGTTGGAAAGGAAACAGATTCCAGCACATAAAAAGAGAAGATAAAACAAAGATAAACACAGGCTAACACACTTCAACAACATCACTCCACGTTTATAGTGGGACTAGAATTTGTGCAGAGCACAGCCAAGCATTTGACTCCTGCCTCCTCGAGGGCTCACAACGCCTGCCAGCGTGACAGCGAGCGGCTTTCCCAATTCACTCCCTCGCTGCCGGGCAGGGGCCCTTTCCATCGTACAGACACCAACGGGCAGACGGCCGCACTTTCCTTGGGTGCCTGCTTGCGTGCTGCTGCCTGCTAAGGCTTGTGGTTAAGCTCTTGCGCTCCATCTGAGGAGAGAATCGCAATATTTCCAATGCTTACCATGGCCCACTGCCTAGCTTTGATCCTCATCTGGTTGTAGCTGCGTTCTTCGGCGTACAAGGCACTCATAAAAGCACCAATAGATGTTCCTCCGATCATATCTACCGGGATGCCAGCTTCAATCAGCGCTCTGATAACTCCCACTTGGGAGCATCCCCTGTGCCAAGAAAAGAAAAAAAAAAAAATTAAACCCGATATTATCAGACAAACAGCAATTGAAAGAGCATAAAGACATGAATGCCACCTTCTAAGGGAACTCGAGTGTGCGCTGGCTGAACTGCCAATCTATTGCTAAACAAGCCTCAATACCAGAAATAAACATTACGAATGCAGAAATCTTCAGATAGAGTCCGTGAGGAGCCTAGGAAATACAGACCTCCCAGCCTGACTTCAGCATGAAAGGCAGCGATATGAAAACAACAGCCAAGAATCAAGCCAGTGGATACGCGAGGGAAAACTCAACATGGCTTTAAGAGAGCGATGCATCAAAAAATCTAGTAGGGTTCTTCGAAAGCAGCCAAGAAGGGCTGGGTTTCAGAGACCTTCCCACAAGTTTCTTTTCCAGTGGTTCTTCAAAGAAACTCGGCCAGCCTGGGATTGCAGCATGGGTCACCGCATGGATTAATAATGAATTTGAAGAAGGAAAACGAAGAGCAAGAAGAGACAAACAGTGATGAGAAGGCAGACGTTTCATCTGCAGACAGACCCAGGAAGGGGGCAGATGAGGAGGCAACGTTTGAGGACGATACAAATTCCTTCAGGATAGTAAATGTATTCCTTGATTTCAAGGAATGCAGAAGGAACTCAGAGCAATGATGGAGTCAAGTGATAGACAACAGATGAACCTCAGTGCTGATGGGACACGAGAAAAACAGAAGCAGCAATGAGCTCTTAACCAGCTCTGCTCACACAGAGAGATCTTGGAACCACTGTGGACACTCTCTGAAAAAATATCAACCTTCTGTTCAGTGCAAATTCAAAAGGCAAATCAAAGAAAACCAGCATAAAACAGAAAACATAACATTCATCCAGGATGGACCTGCATTTTGAAAACTGCAAGCAAGTTCAGACTTCTCACTAAAAAAAATAAATAAATAGAAGAACCACAAAATGACAGAGAAGCACAAAAGATGACCAGAATATGGAAAGGACTTCACATGAGAAAAAACTAGACTCGAATCTCTGACTGGGGAAGTTCATGTCAGACAGGAGACACGCAGGGCCAGCCAATGATACCCCCACATGGAAAGTTCAACGTAAAGGAAAGAATTTACACACAGACATGTGTATGTAAAGCACAAATTGGGGAAACCACAGTTACCCCATGCTGAAGAGGTCAAATCACAAATGGATGTAAATGTGGACTGGATGAATCAAAGGTACCAGGCTGTCAGTGGCTACTAAGCCTGAAAAATCAGAGGTGCAACCTTCTGTTCAGGAAGCTCAGAAGCTGCTAATTGTTGCAAATGCTCATTTCTGAAGCAATCGCTACTACCTACCATCAGAAATGAGGTAGCAGAGGTGGAAAGTTTGATCTGATCTTATAAACAGTTCTTCTAAAGAGCCATCCCATAATGGGAGAGGGATCCCTGTCCGTTCTACAGAACCGTTACAGAAAGAGAGAAGTTAGCAGCGGAGGCCGATTGCTGCCTTAGCAGTACAAAATCAGGGCCTCTGGTTTCAAGTGTTTTGTCCATTTAATACGAAGCACGTCAATGAGTTCATTCCACCTGGATGGATGCTTTGCAGTCTAAGCCATACAGCAGTAAAAATCTTCCTTTTCCTATTTTCATCCCATTTTTCTGTTCCCCCCCAGTTTGCTCTATTTCTGTCCTCTTTCCCCTTGCTGTTTACATCCTATAAATACTTGCTAACAGCTGCCAAGTCCACCGTAGGTGTCATTTGGCCAAGCTATGCTGAACGCATTCTTTCCATCTAAATAAATCCCCTCCAGCTGCTGAAATACTTTGAGACAGGTTCTTGGTTATAGTGGTGTAAATGACTTCAATGACAGATCTGCGCTGGTGTAATCCAAGAGTAGAAAATGGCTCATTTAGCTTTCTTCTACAAATCCTCCTTCCTCTGCTTTACTATTGCTTCTGCTCATAAGGTGCCCCTAAGTTAAAAGAATTACATTTTTATGCCTGCCAGAGGAGCCTCTTGTTTTCAGGCTTTTAGATCGCAGCTATTTGTGCAATCTGCTTCTTGTGCCTGGCACTTAACTGCTGCCTTCTCCCTGCGTGCAAGTCACTAGCTGACACCGATGTTTCGCTGAGGAACAGACCTTACACTATCCAACCTGCTTTCCGGAGAAAGCCTACATCACGTGGATTTGTTAAGACACGTTAAGTGCTGTAAAGCATCTCCTGCTTGGAGGGCAATTTTAAACTGGCCTGGACTACCTCCAGACTGGATTCTCTCCCTTTAACCTCTTCTGAAACTGGATCTCCTCGTTCATGCATTCGTGCATCCATAAAATATGAGGGATTTGATGTGATCGCTCTGGATTTGGTTTTACTTTGCCGTATGGTGCCCTTGAATGAATAACAAAAGATTACTATTATTTCTGTTGGCAAGCCATCACCTCTGCGTCGTGCATCGGCAGATTCCCTGCCAATATCCAGCTAAATGTGTAACGGCCACGTGTCTCCAACAGATGCCTCGATTTCAAAGCACTGACCTGCAAGATGGGAATGAAAGTACTTTTCTTGCTCAGAAAAGGACCTCCTATAAACTGCCAGACTAAATTATGTTTCATTTATACACAACTACAAAGCTGATTCTTCCAGTTCCAGCATCCTAAACATGAGCATTCATGACTGAATGTATTTGTGCAAACAAAAATCCTGAAGAAAAGCAAATGTGCCTAAACCCACCCCATTTCTCCATCTACCACCCAGTCTCCTGAAAGATATAAATGTTTTTTTTCCCCCTCCCTACAGCTTTAGACCATCATTACCCCCAACAACACTACTACGTGAAACTTTTCAACAACTCCTCGCAGTTGGTTCTCCCTTGGCCACTTCTTGGCAGCTCACGGCGTACGTAAACACGGGAAGGCTGCCAAGGGAAGCTGTGCCGGAGCCAGCGCTTTGCCAGGCAGCACGCATCCCGCTCACTGACAACTTGCTGGTGCATCACGGAGAGCCGGTGTGGGCAGCTCTCATGCTACAGCTAAAGAGGAAAAGAAATGGATGCCAGGAGCTACGTCTCTGTTAACAGTCAGAGTACCAGTACAGAAAAAAAACCACAGGGATCGTGCACTTCTTGTAATACCGGGCACAATTTCACAGGGGACCTCTCCTGTTTTAGGGCAACATGTGAAAATCCAAGTGTTTGGCAAGAGGAGTACGAAGGAAGAGTGCCTGTGTTAACGCTGTACGTATACATCAGTGCCAGAGCACTCACGCAGAGCAGAGGAAGGGATGGGGAAAGTCTCCGGCTACCTGGCCGACACAGAGCTGAATGTCACTTACTCTGGAGGCAAGGAGGAAAAGGGGAGTCCGTCTAGATATGAGGAAGGAGCGTCTCAGATCGGGATGCACAGGACGTTGCTAGAGCCGCACACACAGCCGTCCTTTGCCTTAAAGTCACCCGATGGTGCAGCTGGATGGAGCATTTCCCCTACCAGGATTAACGCCTGTCCCTAGGACAGTGACGAGGACGCCTGTCCCCAAGGACAAACGACCTAGAAGATTACTTTCGAATAATTTGCACCAGAATCCAACGATTTGCCCAAGAAGTGCAGAGTCTACGTATTAACAAAAACTCTTTTCCATCGTGTATCGTTCCCTAGGTCAGGCCTGATTAATTCGTGCCCTTTGCAGAGAGGGCAGAAACGGCACCAACCAGTTCGAGGAGGAACTGGAAATAAGAGCCACGCTCCATTTTCACCCCTGCCATTGCCTCGCAACCTGATCGGAGCAAGGCAAGTCACGGGTTGCTCTGTGCATCAGCTGCCCCGCAGTGCCGCTTCTTGCACTACGTCCCAAACTCCCGCTTAAAAAGCCTCCAAAAGGAGTGCTGTACTTCTTCAGTTCCAAGCACTGTTTCTTCTTTAGTACTAACGGTCACAAATAAATGATCACAAAGCAGGGAGGGGAGTTACAGGGTTGGAGACGTGTTTCCTTGAAATAACACAGCACAGCAAGCAGAGAGCACAGCCTTTCTGGCAGAAGGTCTTGCAGGAAAATTCCTGCTCCCGAAACCAGCCGTTGCTTTCATCCCCCCGGGGATGTACTGGCATGTGACTGTAACGCACGAAGGCCAGAGCACAACTGATAAAAGAAAAATTCTTCTGCGAGACGTGCATGTGTCAGCTCCACACGTGCCTGCCAGAGCTCAGATGAGATACGACTCTCAGGAAGAAGTGAGCAAATGCAGGAGGACATTTCAGATTAAAGTGTCAGCAGCAATACAGGCTGTCCTCTGTGCTCAGGTCAGGGGGCTGAAGAAAACACAATTAGTACAAAAACAGAGCCTGTGCATCAATATTTTCTCCACAAGCTACGTTTAACATATCAATAGGATGTTGTCTGTCAGTGTTAGAAAGAATAACCACGATACCGTGAGCACGCAGAGAGGGGACATTTGTTTTTCAGACCGTGACTAGCAGAGCAGCAAGGCAAGGCTGCAGCTTGATCACGCCGCACACCTCCAAAGTCCACTTCAGTTTCAGAAAGGAAGAGAAAACAGAGCTCAGGCCTTCAGCCCCCCCAGCACCCATCCCTTCTCCTAATTGACCCATCGGGATGACGGAGATCTCTCTGAATGCACTGAAGAGATGCTATTTCCTTTGGTTTAAAAACAGGATTAAGGTCACGGCTGCTGCAGAGCTCTACCGTGTCTCTAACCAAAGCCTCCCCGGAGCAGGACGCACGGCTTGCTGCACCACCTTCCTGATGTAGTAAACTGGCAAAGTAGGTAGAAAAATAGAGAAATTGCCAAGGGGACTTTACTAAGCTCCACTAGAGCCTAACAAACCTGAATTTAGGCAACCTCATAACCATAAAACTCCTGAAGAAGTAAAGCTATGCAAATAAGAGCAGCTTTTCCTTCATATAACAGCTTTGACTCAAAGCACGTTACGAGCGGTCGTTAGATCTTACGGGGTAAGCGCAGAGGAGTACGTATTTACTATATCCATTTTAGAGATGT